TTTCATTGAGGGAAACATGAACTCCAACATGTACTGTGAAATACTGCAGCAGAGCATGATCCCCTCCCTCCAGAAACTGGGTCGCAGAGCAGTGTTCCAGCATGACAATGACCCCAAACACACATCCAAGACAACAACTTCTTTACTGAAGAGGCTGAGCGTAAAGGTGATGGACCGGCCAAGCATGTCTCCAGACTTGAACCCAATAGAACATCTTTGGGCCATCCTCAAGCGGAAGGTGGAGGTGCGCAGAGTCTCAAATATCCGCCAGCTTCACGACGTCATCATTGAGGAGTGGAAGAGCATTCCAGTGACTACCTGTGAAGCTCTGGTAAACTCCATGCCCAGGAGAGTAAAGGCAGTTTTCGATAATGATGGTGGCCACACAAAATATTGACAGTTGACATGTATGTTAATATTGACTTTTCCTAAGGCGTGTACTCACTTTTGTTGTCAGGGATTTAGCTTTTAATGGCTATATTTTGAGTTATTTTGAGGGAAAAATAAATTAACTCTGTTATATATGCTGCAGACAGGCTACTTTTCATTGATATATGATATAAACAAAAATTAGGTCAGTCAATAAAAATCAGAGGAGTAAATCTATCTTTTAATCTCTTTACATGTTTCTGCGTCACTGCATTTTCTAACGCCATTTACGCCATTTACGCCATTTTCCTTTTTCTTAATCCTTTGCTTAATCTTTGAATGGATTATTTCGCTAATCCAATGCCCCTTCGGATTTCGGTGTCATATTTTCTATCCTCTGTAAAAACACTACCGATATTTTTAAATGTTTGTACTTACTTGATTATAATGTCTCCAATTCGTAATTCGCATGTTCGGCTGTCTCTTTTGTTGACAACCGTATGTTCTCTCTTCTCACAACAACAGCTACTGGAGCTGAGAAACGTATTTTCCTGAAAAATTATTTTAAAAGAAATTTTTTTATGTATTTCAACCGACATCAGCAGTGGTCAATGAATGATGAATGCTTTCTTATAAGGAAATGGTTAATATTACCATTACCATTATTTTATTACTGCTTTCGATGTCTCCAAATCTTAGCTTCATTTCTGACCCTAATGTATTATTTTATTACAATTTTTACTCTATATTATTATTGTTGCATTTTACCACAACACTCTACGCTAGGTTGATACACTTCTCATTATTGCTATTATTTTATTACTATTTTTATTCCACCTTATTATGCTTGCTTTTTATCACAACCCTCTGGATAGAACGTCCTGGGTATGACGATAAACTACATCCGCGTCCTGGGTATGACGATAAACTACATCCGCATCCTGGGTACGGCGATAAACTACATCCGCGTCCTGGGTATGACGATAAACTACATCCAACAGCAAGGCCTCAGATAATGTTTTCGGAAAAATAATGTTGCCAGCTAAACGTTTTTGAAACAATAATGTTGCCAGCTATCCGTTTTTGGAACCATAATGTTGCCAGCTATGCGTTTTTGAAACAATAATGTTGCCAGCTATACGTTTTTGAAACAATAATGTTGCCAGCTATGCATTTTTGAAATCATAATGTTGCCAGCTATACGTTTTTGAAACCATAATATTGCCAGCTATACGTTTTTTGTAAAAAATAATGTTGCCAGCTATACGTTTTTTGTAAAAAATAATATTGCCAGCTATACGTTTTTGAAAATAATGTTGCCCGCTATACGTTTTTGAAACAATAATGTTCCCACCCATACGTTTTTGAAACAATAATGTTGCCAGCTATGCGTTTTTGAAACTATAATGTTGCCAGCTATACGTTTTTGAAACCATAATGTTGCCAGCTATACGTTTTTTAAAAAAATAATGTTGCCAGCTATACGTTTTGAAACAATAATGTTGCTAGCTATAAGTTTTTGAAAATAATGTTGCCAGCTATACGT